GCCCAGCGGGCCCCTCCCGGCCGAGAGCCTCCCGGTGCGCGGCTACGACTTCTCGGGAGGCCCGGACCACGCCGCGCTGCTCCGCTCCTTCCGTACAACCGGCTTCCAGGCCACCAGCTTCGCCCAGGCCGTCGCCGAGATCCAGCGGATGGTGGGGCCCGGGACGGGGGGAATTGGGGGAGGGGGGTCCCGGGGTGTTGCCGTTCGTGACCCCCGGTCCCCGGTCGCAGATCGCGGCGAAGCTGGAGCCGCTGAGCGAGGAGGAGCGGGCGCGGGCGGCGCTGGGCGGGCGGCGGCCGCCCTCGGGCTGCACCATCTTCCTGGGCTTCACCTCCAACCTCGTCAGCTCCGGCGTCCGGGAGACCCTCCGGTACCTGGTGCAGCACAACATGGTGCGGGGACACCGGGGGGGTGGGGGGACACCGGGGGTGAGCCCTCAAGGTCCTCGGGGTGTCCCCGCGGTCCCCAGCCTGTCCCCGGGGGTCCCTGTGGGGTCCCCAGGGGGGTGCACCGTTCTCTAGGGTGTCCCTCAGGTCCGTGTGGGATCCAGGGGGTCCCCAAGGGGTCCCTCAAGTCTCTGTTGGGTCCAGGGGGTCCCCAATGGGTCCTTCACATCCATGGGGGCTCCTTTTCCCTGTCCCTCAGGTCCCTGTAGGATCCAGGGGGTCCTCAGCTCAGTCCCCAAGGGGTCTGTCATGTCCTTGGGGGGTCCTTCTCCCTGTTCCTCAGGTCCTTTTGGGATCCAGGGGGTCCCCAAGGGGTCCCTCAAGTCTCTGTTGGGTCCAGGGGGTCCCCAATGGGTCCTTCACATCCATGGGGGCTCCTTTTCCCTGTCCCTCAGGTCCCTGTAGGATCCAGGGGGTCCTCAGCTCAGTCCCCAAGGGGTCTGTCATGTCCTTGGGGGGTCCTTCTCCCTGTTCCTCAGGTCCTTTTGGGATCCAGGGGGTCCCCAAGGGCTCCCTCATGTCCTTGGGGGGTCCTTCTCCCTGTCCCTTAGTTCCTTGTAGGATCCAGGGGGTCCCCAATGGGTCCTTCACATCCCTGGGGGGTCCTTCTCCCTGTCCCTCAGGTCCCTGTGGGATCCAGGGGGTTCCCACCTCGGTCCTGGGGATGTCCCTGAGGTCCCAGCCCTGTCCTGAGGGGTCCCTCTGGGTCTCCCCCAGTCCCGGGGCTCTTTGGGGTGTCCCCGGGGTCTCCCCCGAGGCCCTGACGCGTCCCCCTCGGGGCAGGTGGACGTGGTGGTGACCACGGCGGGGGGCGTGGAGGAGGATCTCATCAAGTGCCTGGCGCCCACCTTCATCGGGGACTTCAGCCTGCGGGGACAGGATCTGCGCCGCAGCGGCATCAACAGGTTTGGGGGTGCTGGGGTCCCCTCCCGGGTGTGGGGGGTCCCCTCCCGGGTGTGGGGGGTCCCCTCCGGGCTGAGCCCGTCCCCTCCCCAGGATCGGGAACCTGCTGGTGCCCAACGACAACTACTGCAAGTTCGAGGACTGGCTGATGCCCATCCTGGATAAGATGGTGGAGGAGCAAGAAACGCAGGTTTGGGGGGGTCACCTGGAATCTGGGGTCCTCCCAGGCTCCAGGAAGGGGGGGGTTGAGGGGGGGGGGATGCCTGGGTCCCCCCCAGATGTGGGGGTTCTGAGCGTGGGGGTCTGTAGGGGATGAGGTGGACGCCCTCCCGGATGATCGCGCGGTTGGGGAAGGAGATCGACAACCCCGAGTCCATCTGCTACTGGGCACAGAAGGTGAGTGGGGACGGGGTGGGGGGACACGCATGGACACCGGGGGGTGTCATCGGGGGTGTCCCCAGCCCCTCACAGCCCCATCACCGTGTCCCCTTCCCAGAACAACATCCCGGTGCTGAGCCCGGCGCTCACCGACGGCTCCCTGGGGGACATGATCTTCTTCCACTCCTACAAGCGCCCGGGGCTGGTGCTGGACATCGTGGAGGGTGAGTGTGTGTGTGTCCCCCCACCCAGGGGACACTTGGGGACACTCCTGTCCCCCCCCTTATGACACCATCTCCCCCCCACAGACCTGCGCCTCATTAACACCCAGGCCATCTTCGCCAGGAAGACAGGGATGATCATCCTGGGCGGGGGGCTGGTGAAGCACCACATCGCCAACGCCAACCTCATGGTGAGGGGCAGGGGGAGGGACACCCCAAAACCCCCCCAGGGGA